CCCACCTTTCCACAGACCTCCTCGCAGCCTTCTTGTACCTGCGCTGGATATGAAGCCCTCCCAGCCCCTACCACAGGCTGTGCAGAGACAGAACTGCAAATCAGGAGCTCCAGCCAGTCAGGTCTTGGATACTTCCAGGAATGGAGAACTCATTACATCCAAAGCACCAATCATCTTGTGGGGTTTCTCCTTCCTTAAAATGAGCCACAGTCTGTGCCCATGGCCCTCAGGGGAACCTGGGGGAAGGTCATGACCTCTCCCTTTGGAGCAGAGTGGAGGCTCCTGAACCAGAACCTTCTGTCATGAGCCCTCAGGTCTTTCCTGTGTGGCCCAGCCCCGCTGGCCATCTGTACTGCCCTTTGTTGGGTAAGCCCTGTGTCACCACCTCTCTTGGCTGGTGGCCTTCAGAACTGCTCTAATGAGGTCTGAGCAGCACAGGTGACTCCTGTCTGCTTCTGTTACTAAAGTGTCTTCGCAAGTGCCCCTCCTGCCCACACAGCACGTGTGCCAGGAAAAACAAATGCTCAGGGCCTAAGAGCCCTGTTCCAGGGCCAGAACATACCTTCCTCGCCCCCTGCTCCTAACTCTCAGGCCTCCCCCAGCCTTAGACCTCAGGGGCCAGCCTGACTCCTGCCTCCTGGGAGGGGTGAAGTTCCTGGCCCAGTCGGCTGAAACTGCTCCTTCCAGTCACTTCCATTCACCTTCCGGTGCCTGGCCTTGCTAATGTCACTCAAGGGGTCTGGTCTGAATCTCAGCATCTCCCAGCAACTATGTTCCTCAGAGCCCCAGCTCTAGACACCAAAGGGTGTGCCCAGGAGTCTGAGTGGGCAGCCTGCTCTGCCTGGAATTCTCGGGCTAGTGGCCTGAGGCCCAGGATGCCCCTGTCTGGCAGCCAGTCACTCTGAGAACTGGAAAACCACAAGCCCACATGATAATATCTGAGGCATATTAACCACACAGTGCTTCCTCCTTGCTAACCTACTTCCTCCTCCCTGCTCTGCTGCCAGAGGGCCCCAGGCTTGGAAGGAAAGGCTCCCTCACCCTCAGCTGCTTCCCTGCAAGTGCCCCATGTCTGCATCCCATGCTCGCACAGTGGCTAATTCTGGTGTCTCATCAGACAGTAATTATGGGGGAATCAGCAGTGCCGTCATCTCTGCAGCTCAGCACCTGTCACCACGCCACCATCCCCAGGCTGCTGGGATGGGACCGGAAGCTGAGGGAGGAGGGGTGTGCTGGGGTGAGGGGCATCTGCACCTTTCCTGCTTCTGCAGTCCTCACTTCCCCGCCCTGCCTCCCCAAGGTGAGCAGTGCACTTCAACCAGGTGGTTACCAGCCACACAAGTGCTCCCTGTTACCCGGGGCAGGTACTGAAAGCAGGTGCCATGTGTCCCATGTATGCATCCCCATGGCCAAACAGAACAGGCAGAAGGACACAGCAAGTCAAGGCTCAAATCTCACCTTGGGCACTTGCCATACGTGTGACCTTGAACAAATCATTTCAGTCCTCCAGGCCTCAGTTTCCCCAATGGCAAAATGGAGAAAACAGCACCTCCCTTGTGAAGACGGGAAGAAATAAGGTGTGTAATAGCACAGTGCCTGGCACATGTGTGGTCATGTAGTCATTCAACAAGCAATTCATACACAGTTACTTTAATGTGTTAGGCAATATGGGGATGCCAAGATGAATGAGATGATTTAGCAAGGATCACACTGTGGCTACACTGAGGCACAGGCTTTTTTTTTTTTTGTTGGGAGGCAGGGATGGCTAATGGTATTTTGTTTTATTTCTTTGAATTTTAATACCTCTAAGGAGCACAGGAAGTGAGGTAAGGAAGGGTGGGCTGCAGAGGCAGGAAGGCACCCCTCTCCTCACCACAGTCCCCACCATTCCCTATCATCCTCATGCATCGCTTCCCTCATTTGCTGCCCCTGAAGGTACTGAGTTTGCTGCCCCCACAAGCAAAAGTAGGCTAATGGGCTTAGTTATGTCCAGAACTGGTGACTGTTCAAGAAAGGTTACATTAGGAGCCACCAGAGGTTTGACAGTGCTCCGGGAGATCGGAGGGGCGAGCCCAGAGGCGGTTGTGGGGAAGGGCATTTCAGGGAGGAGCAGGAATGGGAGGTGATGAAGAGGAGCCCAGCCGCGGAGGCAAAGGACCACAGGGGAAGAGGCCAGACCCAAGGGAGCTGCTGGGGCCCCCACCTGGCTGCAGCACGGACTCCTCAGGAGGAACAGGGTGGGGGAGGAAGGTGATGAATCTTAGCATGAATTCTCCACGGCGTTGGGCCAGAGGAGTCCTGCTGCCGGAGTGCAGAGGGAGGCAAAGGTGCACCAGGGAATGGGGTGAGACCCACACAAAGCTTCAGGTGAAGGCGGGGGGTGGGGTGCGGGGGGTGGAAGGGAGGGTGTAGGGCTGAGGCTACCCTGCTAGAGACTGGGACTCTCTCTCTGACCTCAGGCATGCTACTTAACCCCTCAGGTCTGTCTGTCTCTTCTCCCACAAAACAGTCAGCAGCAGTGAGCTCACAGGACAGTTGTGAGGATGAAATGAACTAACGCGTGTACAGTGCACAACCCAGCATCTGGCTCCGAGGAAGCACCCGATAAATACTGGCCATCAGTATTTTCATTATTACCAGTGATGATTTTTCTTCTCAAAACTCAGCAATGACTAAATGAGCCCCATCCCCTGAAAGCCCACAGAGGGAGCACAGGTCTCTTCTAACCAAAACCAGAGTCAACAGTGAGGGACTGACCCCGGTGTCCACTACCATGGTGGCCTCCTCCCGACTCCCACCCCCTACACCCTCAACAGGCATTTCAATAATCCTTCACAGCACTCTTTCAAAACCCATCCACGTCTTATTCCACTCTGGCTGATAAAGCCAGGACAGGGGCTGCTTCACCTTTTTGCAGAGGTAGAAAGTAAGTCTTGTAAGGTACTGAGCTCCCCATCACTGGGGGTATTCCAGAAAAGGGTGGGTGAAAGAGACGAACATTCGGATCTCAGAGGCCCTTGCGCTGGCCCCCTCTGCCTGGTTCACTGCCCGAGCCCACCCTGCAGGCTGAGCCTTGGCCCCTCTGCTGTTTGTGTGGAGAAGCGGGGTAACTCACGCGAGCAAGGAGGGAAGAAAGGGCTCCAATTTCAAGTCTCTCCTCGTTCTCCTGGCTTCTCCCGGCAGCAGCCGAGGATGGGGGAGGGAGGGGAGCAGTGTCGTTGCTCTTTTAGGAAAACGGTAATTTTAATTAAGAGGCAGACAAACGAGCGCTCTGCAGATTGTCTCAGAGCAAAGTTATTAAAAAGCCATCAAGGCGGCGGCAGCCACAGTGGCAAGGAGAGCTGCCTCCCCCAGCTGCCCACCTAGATTGTGGCTGAATAGCAGTTCAGAGAACTGGAGAAGGGCTGGAGGACATGGGACCTGAAAATAGCCCCTCTCCTAAGAAGGTAGGGCAGCACCCAGACAGGACCCAGGTGCAGCCTGCCCAACCCTGGGCAGTAGGTGGGGATGCAAAGGGTACCTGCAATTAGGCAGCCCCTGCTGTGGGCCAAGTCTGGGCCCATCACTTCTTTTTCTTTACTCTTCTCAACAATGCTGCCTGGGAGGTGTTCTTGTACCACTTTATAGGCACAAACACTGAGGCTCAGAGAGGGAAAGTGGCTCGTCCAGGTTCACACACTTAGGAAATGGCTGAAGTGGGGGTTTGAACCCAGGGCAGGCTGACTCTCAAGTCCAATGCTCCAGGCTGCTGGTCCTGGGCCCAGATTTGGGGGCAGGGATGGCTTCCCCCGCCCATACACCCTCCTCCAGCTGGGCTCTTTGATGTCCTCTGAAGCAGCCTCAGGAGCAACCTAATAATGTAATGTTACCCTTAGTCATCAAGGTCACCAGGGACTTGGAGGCCAAGTAACTGCTTGCTTGGCAGGGTCACATTATGAGGGGACACTCCACAGGGACATAAAGTTACAAAAGAGCTGCCAGCAGGGGGAGCAGGGGCAGATAGACAGAGGACAGGCCCCCACAGCCAAGAAATCTTCCAACTCTTCAACCTCTACTTGCTCAACACTTAAGCAAAGCATCCAGGAACCTATCTGCCTTGGTTGCTGTTAGACTCTGAGCCTAGTCCAGTGCCTGGCACAGGGAAAGTGTTCAATAAGTCTTCTCCCCCTCCACCCCCAAGACAGAGTCTTGCTCTGTTACCTAGGCTGGAGTGCAGTGGCACAATCTCAGCTCACAGCAACCTCTGCTTCCTGGATTCAAGCAATTCTCCCGCCTCAGCTTCCTGAGTAGCTGGGATTACAGGTGCCCGCCACCACACCAGGCTAATTTTTGTATTTTTAGTAGAGACAGGGTTTCACCATGTTGGCCAGGCCGGTCTCGAACTCCTGACCTCGTGATCCGCCCGCCTCGGCCTCCCAAAGCGCTGGGATTACAGGCGTGAGCCACCACACCTGGCCTTCAGTAAGTCTTTATTGAATAAATGGATAAATGGATGAACAAGCAAACAATTGAATAAATGAAACGAGATCACAAGTTTGCATGTGACTGTAAGCTAAACAAAACGGTCCCATCTTCTCCCATCCCCCACCCTCTGGGCATCGCTGGAACATGGACATCCTCCCATAAGAGGTGCCCCTTGCTCCTGATCCCTCTCCGCAGACCACAAGCCCCCTCGGCAGAGGATTCCCGCCTCTTCTTTTCACCCCAGCCCCAGCTTACATGGTGGCTTTGCAGCCTGCACACACATGTACATGCACGCGTGCTTGTACACGCACACTCACTGACATGCACACACGTGCACATACAGACATGTTCTCTACCAGCCAAAGTGCCCTCCCCAGAGTCAGGTATCTGCTGCCCCCTCCCCTGGCAAAGGCTGGGCCCACCAGGGATAGCCCCCTCCCCATTTCTGGCCCTCCAGGCTGGGGAGGAGCATCTGACTACAGAGAGCTGGCGGGAGGGGGAATCATGGGGGGCCTCCCTCCTCCTGGCTTACTAACCTGGAGACTTTAAACAGAGGGAACAGAGTCCTGGAGGCTTCCCTCCCGCCGCACGCTGGAGCCCTGGGTGAGGGACAGGAAAGGAGGAAAGTCGTGAATGAATGCCCAGAAAGGCCCGGCTGCAGCAGAGGAGCTGGAGAGAGGAGGGGTCGGGGCAGGGGCTCCCAAAGTGGGCCGGGGTAGGGGCAGGGCCATGGGCCATGGGCCATGAGGTTGGGGGAGGTGAAGCAGGTACAGAGCAAGGCAGAGCCTTAGGAGCTCTCCCTTTGGGGCCCCCCAGGGCAGACAGGATAGAGATTGGGTGTCATAGGAAGAGCAGGGACTGAGGGGGTAGAGACACTGGTGCGAGACAGACAGGGGGACGAACAGCAGGACAACACAGAAAACATGGGGTCCCCAGAACTGGGTTCCCAGGACAGACAGCCAACAAGCCACGCCTGGTTCTCCTCCCAGAAACAGGGGGAGATGCTTTACTGGGGTGCTCAACCTAGACCCCAAATGATAGCCCGCCTGCCTCCCTCATGCAAGGTTATGCCATTCTGGAAGGTTGATGGCTTCAGGGTCAGAGAGGCTTGCCATAATTGTCCCGGTGACAACCCTCTCCCCAGCCTAAGAGACCCCTATCTGCTCCACTCCCCACTAACCCTGAGATAGCCCCGCTTCCCCTGCCTGCGTTAGAGACAGGCATTTCCCACCCAAAAGGCACTCATAGGTTCACACTGTGCCAGGAGCACAGACCTGCCTGAAGTCCTTCACTTAGCTACTGCCTCCACGCCCCCAACCCTCAACCTGCCACGGCAGGTCCCCTGCAGCTGTCCACCATGCCCCACCCTGCAGGGAAGTTCTTTCTAAACCTACTCCACCTCCCTCATGCTGCAATACTGATTAGCCTTTTACCCTGGGGCATGCAGCAGTAAGACCTTTCTTGCCTGGAGACACTGTGACCCACACCCACTCAGGCACAGCCCTCCCTTGGCTGGCTCAGACCCATCCATACCCACAACACGTCTGGCTACAAGTATTCTCAGAGCCCCCTGCCAATCTCATGGTTCCAATTTTCCCACCGATTACCTAAAACGTCGACATCCCAGGGAGAAACAGCTGCTGGGACACGGACTGGGAGAAAATATTAAGAATGCTCACTAATGTGTCTAGCCCCAGAGGGCTTCCTGGATGAGGCAGTGGGAGGCACAGAAGTGAAGGCTCAGGAGCTCCAGCTTCCTTCTTACCACCAGCCCTTAGTGGCAGCTCCAGGGGCCCAGCCCCAGACAGGCTGAGTTGAGGATCTGGGTCTTAGAAAAATCTAAAGAGGTTTCTTATGTATGCCCTTTCCTCAGTGGAGGGTGGACCCTATTCAATCATTCAGTCAGACACAGGAAGAGGAGGAAGATAAAGATGTGACTATTTATTGAATGTCTACTATGTGCCAGGAACTCTGCCTAAATTACCTCATATAATCCTACTACCCACTCTGTGAGGAAGCCACTGTTATGCCCTCGATCTACAGGGACGGAAACTGAGCTTCAGAGAGTGAAGCAACTTGCCCCAAACCACACAGCGAATGACTGTCAGGGCTGCAATTGCAGCCCAGAGCTGTCTGACTGCAGACCCTGAGCTCTTGACCCAGGAGCTAAACTGTCTCCTATCCACCCTCCCCAGTCGTTGGCTGTCTTCCTTTTGGTGGCCTCTGGGAAGTTCTGCCTAAAGTCTAACCTCTTTCTATTGGATGCTCCAGCAGAAATTATCTCCTATGGGCAGCAAGGTAGAAGAGAAGATTTCTCTTCTGTCTCTGTCCCGTCCTAAGAGTGGGAGGCAGACTGTTCTAACCCAAGGCTGCCAGTGGACCAGGATTGCGGTGAGCCATCAGGTTGAGAGGAGACAGGCGGGTCCGGGATTTCCTGGGCTTCATCTTTAGGTGACATCTGCCTCTCTAAGAGCCCCTTCCTGCCCCTCCCACTTCCAGGAGAGAAGAAGCTCCAGGAAGCCCCGCACAAGCCCCTTCTCGTTTTACCAACCAGAAGTTCTCATAGTGCCCAGGTAGAAGAGAGCCCAGAAGTTCTGGGGTGGACAAAGTGAGAGTCTGCGGCAGTCCCCACAGCCCTCGCCTTTCCACAGAGCCCTAACTTTCCATGTATAAGGGGGCTGGGGACAAGAATGGGGAACTCATCAGGCCAGCCTGGTCACTGGGTGGGGTGGAACAGGCAGGGGACAGCCCAAGAGAGAAGACAGCAAGGCCCATCCCAAGGGCTTCAAGGAGCCATGGAAGGCCTTCCCAACAAGCTGGAGTCGTTCATTCTTCCCATAAGAAGCAGAGGCTGGTGCCTGGAGTGATGTCTGCTCCGTATGCAATTATCATGCATCCTAGGGGTGAGGGGAGACTGCAGAACACGTGCCCTGGCGATCTCCCCAGCTCTGCACAAACAGAAACAGCTAGGCTCTTTCTGCGGGGTCTCTGGGTCTGGGGTCTCTCTATAAGCTGAGTCTGGGGGCCCCTCTGTAGGTCCCTGGGTCTGGGGTCTCCAGCATGCTCTGCCAGCTGGAATGGAAAAGAAGCCAGTGCCCTGGAATGCGTGTATTTGCAGAGGTGAGAAAACCCAACTCCCTTCCAGTCTTGGTTTACTCCATACCAGGACATGCAGGCAACCGAGGCAGGTGGCCGAGGCTACCGGGAGCCAGGATAAGGCTGTGGGGGAGCTGAGCCACCAGCTTGAAGTGCCTTGTGGAAGAAAACCCGAACTGGATTATTGTCCCCGAATGGAATGGAGTGTGGCACAGCCAGTTCTGCTGGGGTGGGAGGAAAACAGTGAGTTTAGAATTCAGAGGACAGCTGAATCCTCTAGCCACTCCCTTCTCCATCCCCTGGGCTGGGAGGGCAGATGTAGGCAAGGTGTGCCTTCAGAACAGGAGGGGTGCTGTCTGTAAGGCATGAGTGTGTGTGTGTGTGTGTGTGTGTGTGTGTACATGTGTATATGTGTACATGTGTATGTATTCCAATATTCTCTTGGGCCAAATCTCCATTTTTTTTTCTTAGCTGAAGCTGGGAAACAGTCTTCCCACCCTCCAGGTGGCAAAGCAATATTATCCAAGGGAGAGGAGGTAGAGAGAGCCTGGGAGCACTGGAAGGGAGCTTGAAGGTCCTCTAGTCCCACCCTCTTTTCTTATACCAAGGACACTGAAGACCAGAGAGGGCAACTAAATTGCCAAGGTCACACAGCAGTAGGGGAGACAGGCAAGTTGACTCCAGCCCAACGCTTGTTCTTTACAACTTACCTCTTTGCCCTAAGGAACAGAGGAGCAGCTTCTCTCTGTCTCCTCCTCTTCTCCCTCTCCCGCAGCACTGGATCCCTCTCCAGCAGGGCCCCCTGCACTCTGGCAACCACACCAGCCACACTCCTCAGGATGCCCAAAGGTCATGTGAAAGGTCATGCTGAGCAGTCCCCTGCCCCTAGGTCCAACACTAGTCTACGGGTGCTCACAGACCACTGTCATTGAGGTGAAAGATGCAAAAATACCACCAGAGGCTCCCATCCTGGAGTGGCCACATGCTGGGAGGTTTATCTTCCTATCTAACCTTGATTCCTCCTACTACAGCGTGGGCCTGCTTCCTCTCAAGCTGTCCTATGCAGAGATGGAGGCAGGGGGAGAAAAGCAGGTTTCCAGCCTCCACACCCTTCTGTTTGCCCACCCCCAGCAGACAGGATGAGGGCAGGGTGTCCCTGGGTGGCTGGGCCCCAAGCCCAGTGCATGCGTGGGGCCCGAAGGGTGGGATGAGGGAGCAGCAGCCTGGGTATGGGGGAAACAGCTTTTCTAGGAATTGCCCCTCCAAGTCCTCATCCTCTGCAAAATCCTAACTAAGTCTCAGGCTTAGACTTCTCTAAGGATTATTATCTTCTCTGGGTTCAGAGATGTCTGTCACCTATCCCATCATAATTGATTGTTTATTATCCCAACAATAAATTGATTGTTTATTATATGTCCGGCACTGCGGGATGTTTTCATCTGTTGTTTCATTTAATCTTCACAAAAATTCCAGGATCAGAAACGAATCTGTCCCCTGGGATGGTCCTTCCTTAAGACTAAGTCTAACCTTGATCTCTCCTGCTGCATTTCCCCTGGCCCGGTCCTCCTTGGTGGCATTTTTGTTCCTGTCTTCAGAGACTCTTCTCATGACTCAGTGACCTACATGATCTTCTCCAGGCTATCAACCTTTACCCAGCCCTGCCCCAGGAGTGGGGAGATATGTAAGTAAAAGGAACCAAGGCATGCAAGGAGGCTCTGGGGGAGGTCCCCAAGAGGTCAGGTGGGGCTGCTGGAGGTAGGGGCAGGACTAGGGTGGCAGGTTCTCCTCCCTCATAATGTCCATGACGCCTGGAGGGGGTCTGGGCCCCACCTTCTGTGTGGTAGCTAAGAGGGCCCAGAGAGGCAATGAATGACCTAGTCCTTCTCAGTAACCATCTCTGAGGCTCAGGTTTCAGCACACACATCCCTAGAGCCCAGGCGAATGGGCAAAAGTAGGCAGGGGCACAAGGGCAGGACTTGCCATGGGTTGAGCCTGGGAGGTGAAGCCAGAGGAGGAGCTCTGACACCTGGCTAAGCTCCCGGCAGAGGGCTAGCAGGCCCTGGGAGGGTGCACAGCCTCAAGCCCCTCTGCCTGCTGCAGGGTCAGGCCTCCGTGGGGTTTTGCACCCCCTATTCTAGCCACAGGCAACTTTGGTGAATTCACCCACCACATGGCTTCTCTGTTTTGACCTTTTGCAGCAGGAGTGCTGAGGGCAGGGGTCTCCTCCACTACAGTCATCCCCCCACCCTGCCCCCAGCATGGCTGGAACATAGGGGCCAGACTCACCTCCCCAGGGAATGTTCAGGCCCAGCTTTCACCCCTCTGGGAAATCGGAGCAGCAAAAGCATGGGCCAATGGGCAAGGGGAGTTGGAATGGTGGGTGGGACTCTGGGCCGGGTGTGGGCGGCACCCTCCCCCTTCAAGCAGGCACCATTAATATATGCAAAGCATATGCAAATCACCCAGAAGAGAGACACAACACCGCTGGAATGTCACAAGAGACCTTGGAGATCAGCCAGCCCACGCCCCCTCATTTCACAGGTGAGGAAAGAGGCCCGCGCTGGGAAGGGACTTGCTCAAGGTCACGCAGACATCTGGGCACTGAGGAAGGATAAGAATGAGCTCTCTCGACTTAGTGCAGTGCTTTTTCCACCAGGGTCTTGTCTTTCTGCTGGGGGGTTTACAACATGGCAAAGGGGCCCCAGGGAGTGGATGGGGCTCCAGGCAGGCCCATCAGAGACATGGGTGGGAGATGGAGCCGAGAGGCTTCCTGGATGCCTCCCTTACCGCCTCTGCACCTGGAGACGGTCTGGTGGGTGTGAGGGGCAGTGCAAGGGCAGCATAGCACCTGGGGGGCCAATGGGTGGAGGGGCGGGAGGCCGGAGGTAGGCAAGGAGAAATCCGAGGGGCAGGGGAGAAGAGCAGGGAACCTGGGGTGTTTGAGGCAGGGGAGGAAGAGCCCAATGTCAGGGCAAGGTGCCCGCTGTGGTGTGGGGAGGGGGATGGCGCCCTCAACACACACACACACACACACACACATCCCTAAGTGCTCAGCAGCCCTTCCTGGACTCTGACAATTATGGCACCTGACAGACCATAATAGTTAACCCAGGCCCATCCCTTCTGAGGCCACTTCCCCGCCCCCAACTTGGCTTCTCAACCTTCCAGACAGTCCTCGAAAGCAGGGCCAGAGCTGGGGAAAGGAAGGGGCGGCAGACAATGGGAGGGGCGGTCAGAGGGAGGAAGGGGGAGGCAGAAGAAGAGACAGGGAGACAGGGTTAGAGAGAGAGACAGCAGGAAGGGCAGCACAGGAGAAATTGAGGGGCAGGGAGCGGCAGGGGAGGAATGGGGAGACGGAATGGCACAGAGGAGAGATGGGGGAGGGGCGAAGACTGAGGGCATCCAGGGGAGCACTCTGGAGCCCAGGTATCGGGTAGAGGAACCCTGACCCCGAGGTTCTAGGCTGCTTGGCAGGAGTTAGGGACCATGCCCCTGCCCCTCTGCCCACCTCCCCAGAAACTCCCCTGGTTGCCAGGAACTCAGTCCTCCCTCCTTCACTGCCTCCCTCCCTTCCTCCCTCGGGGCAGGCAGTGCTTCCCAGCCAAATCCGAAGCCTTCATCTCCGCTTCTCAGAGCTTGGAATGAAAGAAGGGGAAGCGAGTACAGCCCTCAAACCCGCTGACGGCCAGATTTTTATTATCTTTGCTCGAATGGGCCCTAGGAAGCCAATGAGGTATTCTTCAAAGAGCATCTGAGTGCCTCATTGAAGCCTGCACCTGCACCTGCACCAGCCCACCCACAGCAGGCAGCCAGGACTTGGGGGGCACAACCTGTCCCCCAACCCCCCACAAGTCCTAGAGTCCAGAGCCTCGGCTACCAGGAGCCTTACCCTCAGCAGCTTGTATCCAAGCAGGGGTCCCTAGGTCAGGAAACCAGGCTTAAAGCTAGACTTAAGTCTGCTGGGCCTCTGAGGCAGTCTCTGTCCCTCTCTGGGCCTCAAGGACATAAATGAAGGAAGAAAACAGATCTCCTTGCCAGGGCTTGGAGGAGATAAATGCTTGGGATTCCTCGAAAGAGCAGCTTTTATGGCACGCCCTGGATCCTTCCCCTGAACTCCCTGCCTGCCCAACACCCACAGGCCCCTTTGCAGGAGCGCCCCCCACCACATCTGCCTCTTCATGTGCCCGGGCCGCTACCCAGTGTGACAGACACCATGAACTGTTCTTCCTTGAGCCCCAAACTCAGCTCCCTCCGTTCCAATCCTCAACACTGTCTCCCTTCTTTCCCCAAAACCTAACCTGGGGTGGGGGTGGGGGCTCAACAAACTGGGTACTTCAAAGAGCCCAGCCCCCTCCCTCCCAAGCACTTCCAGGGCTGGGGTTTTGGCAGAGAATGCCAAGGTTGGCATGGGCAGACGGCAGCCATGCCACCCCCACCCTCTAGCTCTGACCACACTGTCGATGCCCACAGCCAAAGAAGGAATCAATGGTTCTAATTAAACCCTTTTTCCAGGGTGGGTCCCTGGCGAGAGAGGGAAGAGGGAGAGAGACAGGGAAGAGGGAGAGAGAGAGAGAGAGAGAGACACAGAGAGAGCGAGAGCGCATCAGAGAGGCCCTGCATCCCAGCGCCCAACCCAGTACTCTGCACATCTTTAAGATGCCAGGAACCCAGCAGGGATCAGGCCACGAAGACCCCAGACCCTCTGCATTAGGCAAGGAGGCAAGTAGAGGGGCAGGGGAAAGCCTAAGGTGGGGGTAGCTCTTTGAGAGGCTCATTCTAGCGACCCTTCCCCTAGTGGAGTATCCCCCTCCACTCAGCACTCCCCAAGGACCACAGTTGCCTTTTGCAGATAGAGCTCCAGGGCACAGAGAATGGGAGCCAGAAGGGGGATTTGTGCCTCCATCCCAGCCCTGAGGGTCATCACAGAGAACCAGCCATCGTGGAAAGGGCGGAAGGAGCAAGAATTGTTGTGGGGGGGACTGGACAAAGACCCTCTTGTCCCCAAGGCAGGATGGCAGGAAGCCAGGGCAAAGCCTTTGCACTTGCTGCCAATGGTGCCTGGGTGCCAGGCAGTCTGGGTGGGGATGGCAGGGTGGGGGGTAGTGGTGGTGGATCTTATTATTGGAATCCCTCCCCTTATGCCCAGAGCCCTCACCCCCTCCCTTGCTTCTACCCCAGACTACTAGCTAAGTCTCAGTCCCCAGCAACTCTCAGCTTGCCTGGAGAACTCCTTCCTGTGTGAATGTTCCTTTCCGTGTCCCTGACACCTGTACGGAGTGGCCCATCACCAACCAGAACCAGCAAAACCCCTCAAATGCACCATAGCTGCTCCCCACATACAACCACACCAGAAATCACCACCATCATAGCTGCCACCAGTGGTGACAGCCTCACAATCTCCATCAAATGCATCATCAATTTTTTAAAGACCAACAAGAGGGAAAGGGACGGGAATAAGATAAACTGAGGCACAGAATTAGACAGCAAAGCAGTTGGCTCAAGGTCACGCAGACCAAGATACCAAGAGTCGGGAAGAAGGTATCCTGACGACCCCCCAAAAGTGCTCAAACCCCACCCAAAGGAACATTCAGGCCCACAAACCTGGAAGTCTGATCAGCTTCCCTCACTCCCAAGCCTCACCTGTTTCTCCCTTCCCCAAAACAGACAGCAGATCCTCCATCTCCTTTTGAAAGGCTGCTGCCAGAAACCCCCAACCCCAGCTCGGGGAGCCCACTTTCCTTAAAGTTGGGGTGCTGCAGGACCTCCTTGTCCCACAACATTTGAGGAGAGGGGCTGGGAAGATTCCCCTCCTTGCACACTTCCCCGCGCCTGCTCACCTGGCTCCCCTCGGCCCCCAGGGTCCCTCGGTCCAGCCTCCTCCCTGGGAGAGCGGGCTCTGCCCTCCGCCGTCCTCTCCCACCAGGCCAGGGCAAAGCGCCGGAGGCACTGCCAGGGCTGCATGGGGAGGCGTGGGGCTGGGGGGCGCGCACCAGCAGCCTCACACGCCCCGCCGGGCCCTGACAGCCGAGCTGCGGAGGCACCCGGCCTGTCCCCTCTGCTTCCACCAGCATCCTGCTGCCCCCACCGACAGGACTCGGAGCTGGCCCGGGAGCTTCTGACGTAGCAGGGGGGTGCGTGGGAGGGGAGGGTGGGCCACGGTGGTGCGTCCCCTTCCCAGCCCCACCCTCCACCCCTCAGCCGCCTGCAGTCCCTATCTTCTCACTCACCCTAGATGCCCTCCCCAGCTGGGGGCGCCCTCCCCTGCCCTCTGGCCTCTGCGGGGGGAGGGGTTAAGATTAAATAGCCCCTCCCTAAACCCCTCCCTCTCGTGGCCCTCCCTACTCGCTGGTAGAGCGGGGAGCTGGTCCCCAGTTTCTGCAACTGCTGCTGAGGCTCAGAGGTCTCCAGGGCTAGGGCCTCGAGGTGCGGGGAGCTGGGGTGTGTGGAATACTGGCTTGTATCCTGGCAACGCGGCCAACCCCAGAACTCACTCATCCCCTTCCGTCCCTGAGGGCTGGCGCAAAGGGCCCACCACCACCATCCTAGCCCGTGCACCCCATTCTGGGAGCTGAGGGAGGGAGGCCTTTGATGCACCCCTCACTTCTCCATTCCCTTCCCCTCCCCCTGCATCCTCCTCTTCCCTCACCTCGGATGGACGCTCCCCTCCCCCTACCCTGCTCAACATCCATCCCCCTTCTTCTTCTCCTCCCCCCTCCCCCCTCCATACAAGCCCCTTTACAGTTGAACCCCTCTGGCCCCCACCCCGGGGCGTCGTGAGGCCCTCCCCACCCTGCCCCCTCCTCCGGTCCCAGCACTCCTCTCGCCTGGGTCCTTCTCCCAAGCCCAGCGCACAGCGGTCCCCTGCCCCCCACACACCTGCACCCCAGCATCCCTCGCCCCGCCGGCCACCGCCTCCCCGGCCCGGCCGCCGCCCCCGCCCCCGGCCGAGGGGGAAAACACACAAAGAAAACAGAAATACCTTCCACTTAAGCATGGAGGCACATTAGGGAGGAGAGAGACAGGGACATGCCTTGGGACGGAGCGTTCCCCATCGGGCGGGGGCGCGGGGGGCGGGGGCCCCGGGCCGGCCTGCCTGGCGCTCGCCCTCTCGCCGCCTCGCGGGCTCCTCGCTCGGCCCCAGCCCCGGGGCGCGGTGCCAGGCGGGCGGGCCGGGGGCGCGGGCCCCGCCGGGGTGGACCAGCTGGGAGGGCGCCGGCGGCCGGGCGTGTGGGTGCGCGCGCGCGCGGGCGTGTCACCGAGTGTGCGAGTGCGAGTGTGTATGTGTGTGTGTGAGTGTGTGTGCGCGCGCGCGGGCCGGCGCGGGTGTGTCACTCTGGGCGGGCGCGCGCGCGCGCGGCGCGGGCGCGCGCGTGTGGCCGGAACGTACAAAGGGCCGCCCGGGGCGGAGGAGGCGGGGGAGGGGAGGGGGCACTGCGCCTTCTCGCTCCCTCCAGCAGCACGGCGGGATCCCGCAGCGCGCGGCCGGGGCCGGGCGCGAGGCACGCTCAGTCTCCTCCCCGCGCCACCTGCTTCTCCCACCCCAAGTAGTGTTCGCACCACGATGGAGACAAATACGTTGACCAGGGACCGGGAACACTTGGAGGGTGGAGGACTCCTGGGTCTCCAAGCCTGGGCGCGCCTAGGGATGGAAAGGCTCTCGGGGCTGGGTGGGGAGGCGGGGCGGCGAGACTGGGGGCTCCCTTCAGCCAAGGTGACCTCGGAAACCAACAGCCGCCCCATTCCGGGAGCGCCTAGATCCTCCTCTGCTTCTGCCGCGCGACCCCTCACCCCACCGCGCCTAGAAGCGGCTCAGTCAGAGGGTCTGGGCTCCCCGGCGCCCCCTGCTGGGCCGCCTCCTGGCCCCGGCTCCGGGTTGCGGCCCCTCCTGCAGGCGTGCGCGGGAACTGCAGGCGCGCGTGCTAGCAGGGAAGTGGTCTGCGCCCCTCCGGCCAGTGAGACCCCATGGCAGGACGCTCCAGCGACGGTCCCTGCTCACGCCTCGCTTGGCGGCGCCACTGCCGCCTCTACCGCCGCCGGCAGAGCACTAGCTCGGCTCCACCCTGCTGTCCCCCGCCCCTCCGCGTCCCACCTTCGTTGGCCTACCTGTTGGCTCCGCAGACTTCTCCAGCGCTGACCCAGACCCAGACCCAGGTCCGCACAGACACCTCGTGCTCCAGCGGCCCCCTCCCTCCCTCGCTCCGATGCTCTGACCAGTCCCTTCTCTCTCAAGCTTTCTTGGGGAGGAGAAGGTGGGCTGAGTCCCCTGTCCCTTTTATTTACTTCTGGCGTTTCCAAAAGCAGTTTAGGTGAGCAAGAGAGGGAACAGAGTACTTCTATTCACTATGGACCATCAGGCAGAGTGGCAGGCAGGCAGAGAGCCCAGGAGAGGAGACCCCACCCCAAGTGGCCCAAATGACAAACCGGTTTCCCCACTTCCTGGTCTACCCAGTTGCAACCTTAATCTGGGCTCTCCCAATTTCCTGTCCACCCCCCCGGCCTGCCCCTGAGCCAACTACATGCCCAGCTAGGGACAAGGTCCCAGATTCCTCTTAGAGATCAATAACCAATTGCAGTAACTCAGATGCCAGGGCCAGGACCAGAGGAGAGGCCCTTCCCAGCTCCAGCGGCACAGATCAGGAAGACAGCCAAGAGCTGTGTCCTTGGACACACAGTCTGGGCACACGACCCCAGCGGCCGGCACCCTGACTTCTTCCCTCCTGGGCCAACTGCCTCTCCCTCTGCCAACTGGATGGTGCCCATCTTTTGGCCTCTGAGAGCACAGTGGGCATCCATCCAGCGCCCTGCCTGGCTGCCTGCCCAGGATGGGCATGGGAGGCAGCAGGCTCTGTGTGGGGGAGGCTGAGGGGAGGCAGGGGTAGCTTCCCCTCAGCACATGGACACCACCTCCCAGGCGGCTGGGAGCCCAGAGCTCTGGCACACGTCGCTCCTCCATTCAGACTCCCCACCCACCCACTGCACAGGACTCCTGCCCTTCACCTCCCCCCAACTCAGATTCCCCGCAAGGAACAAGATTTCTTCCCTCCCCCACTTTGTGCCTAAGGGGAAGAAAATCAGCAGGTGCTCTACCCATAATTTAACCCTTTCAACAGCCTGACAGAAGTGAGCATTTTCAACCCCCTATCGGAGAGATACAGCCAATTGCCCAATGTAAGAGCAGCAAAGTTGAAATTCAAACCCACATCTGCCTTACGCCAAAGCTCCCCGCCTGTCTTCTATCACCATCATCTCATAACCCTGTGGGCCGCCACAGCAGGGACAACCCCTGGGACACAAAGTCTCATAACCATACAGTTGTTAGAAGAGAACTGGGATCAGGAATGTGGCTGAGAGTTAAGATGTATAGCCATGCCATAATCGGGAAGGAGACAGGGATCTGGTCCTGTTGTGGGGAGAGTGACCTGAGGCATTACCTCTAGTTGACCATTGAAAAGATGCTTGTGCCATCGAGTGGAGATTTGCCTGCCCAACCCCACTGGCTTGGGGTGGAGTGGGAAATGTTCTGTGATGCAGCCCCCAGGGATTGGGAGCAGTTCCAAAGATGTCAGCAGAATGAAACATCCATTTTTACCCACCCTAAGGTGAGCTCGCTCATCATGAAGGCCACCTCCATAGTGAGGCGCTTAAATCAGATATATGTAATATTTTTAATTTGTATAGCTCACCTTTTAATGATGAATCCTTAGCATTTCTGATCATCCTCACAGCTGTCAGCTCATTTGAGACCCTTATCCCCTCTCCTCCCCAAAGATGCTTTGTCCACACCCATCCCACCCAGCTGACTCCATGGGTCCCCCAGAGGGGTGAGAAGGGATACAGCTCCCTGAATAGAACCCAAGGTCCCAAGGCTGAAAGTGGAGCCACAGAACATATGGCCTGGCACCATCACCCCTCATTGACCCCAAGAAAAATAGGTGGCTTTCCCTCCTCCCACCAGGTCTCAAAAGGAGGGGTTCCTGGTGGAGAGAGAAGGCTGGGGACACCATCTCCACTGATCAGGGCGAAAGCAACACAGGTATTACTTCAGCTGAGAGACGAGAATTGCTCCTGTAAGCTGGCATGGTGCCCAGGCACAACCAATTTGCCAGCTGCCTCCACCTGAGATGCCTCAGGTGCCACCCCACCCCCGCTCTCATTCCTCAACAGGTAACTTCCCTCTGGTCCCCCTCCCCTGTGCCTCTGGCAGTGTATTTGGTTGGGAGAGGGCAGCTGGCATGTTTGGGGCTTGGAATAGCAGATCCTAACCACTCACCTTGCCTCCCCAAACATCCCACCCAGTCCTCACCTGTTCCTGGGAGTCTGCAAGAGACAGGTTATGGGGGTACACCCCAGAGGAGAGAATTCTCAGCCTTGCCTCTCCTTCCCCAAGATGCAATAGGAACAGGGATTGCATCTGGAGAAACATCTGGGCAAGTGAAGGGAGGTGGGCCTTGGGATGGGCAGAGAGGGGTGTCTGGGCCTCTAGGAGAAGGTACAGGGTGATGTGGAAATAATGGCTGGGACACCCCAAACTGCTCACTCTGCTGTTTTGGAGCACCCCCAGCGCAGTATCCTTGAGAAAGCCCCCGGTCCATGGGGCTGTTGTCTGGCCAGGCATTTCAGGAGACCCCAAGGAACCATCCACATTCCACTAAGGGGGGGCCTGCAGACAGTGAGGGCCTGGGGACCTGGTCCTATTCTGGAGCAAGTAAACAAGGGCAGTGACGTGGCACCTGGGGCACAAGGGGGTGGGGGAGGAGCCAAGGAGGAAGAGGGTGCTTCCCCCTGCCCCAGGCCTGCATCTGGGGGTTTCTGAACACAGCCTGGTCTTCCAGAGCCCCTAAGCCTCCCTTCTCACATTCCTCACCCTCCTGTTCCTCCTCCCACTCCATAGGAGAGGAGGGAGTGGCAGTAAATTTCTAAAGACCATCCCCCCTTCCCTGCTTGTTATTGTAATGAATGCTAATGATGCTCCCTAATTGATACCCTCATTAGCACATCAAACCCGCTTTCTGAAGAATGGAGAGAGAAAGTGGAGTCAGGTTCTCTGGGGTCGGAGCTGTAGCCAGCCTCCTCCAGAGAACCTTATCCTGATGCTTCTGGCAGG